TGGTAGGCACAAACACGATGTCACAGCAAGGTAACCGCTGACATACGGCTCACTGTAGGGCCCGCACTAAACACACATCGTTAGGTTTTAATATGCAGCATTTTCATTTTTGACACTAAGAAGTACAGCACGGTGCCGTCATGTGGCTTTCCTTGTCATCCTGTCATTCTGCTGGGCATTTTTTTCTTCACACTATTCTGTCACTTCTTACATTTGATGATTCCCGGTCTCAGCTTCCCTGCTTCTTCCTCGTCTCAGCGCTTATAATCCTCTTTCGCTCTTCAAGCTATGCCACTAGTTCTCAATTTTTTCCACCACGTCATCTTTTCACCCACCTCACCTATCTTTTTTTTAATCTCTTTATCTTTTTGCCACTTCCCTCTTCCCTAATCTGCATGCTTGACCCCCCACGTCTTTGTGCTTTTTTCTTGTCACATCACCCATTTCTTTTATCTTCCCTTTGGCTTTTTGACTTCTTAATTTAATTTCTTTACTACTCTTTTGTTTTCTCATAGTAAAGAGTAAAGGAAAAGAGAGAGGATAATGGAGTTGAGGGGAAGAAGGAGGGCAGTGGGCTGACAGAGGGAGTCCCATATGCAGCGGGCTCATTAGAAGATGGGAGGAGAGTCAGCGGCAGAGACACACTAGCAGGTATCCATACCCACCCACCCCCCTCTCTCTCTGTCTGTCTCCCTCACACATATTGCTGGCTTCCTGGACTCATTCCAACACTGACATATCACTATCTTCTCTCTCCCTCCCTGTCTCCTTCCTGCTGCGCTTCTGAAAGTCCTGCTCTCATTAATCACCACCGCGTACAATACACAGCAATTGGTGAATGATTTTACCTTTTACCACCTACCTGCACTATGAGGCCATATATTTTTACTATATGTGGCATCAGTGGAAATCGAGCCATAAATCCGAGGCATTGTTAAAATTGCACGTTTTTTTTCCCTCTTCTTTTACAGCAAAAAGAGAAGTGTGTAATTGAGGAAGACAAAATGCTCAAGGGCACTTAAGAAGCCTCCATGCCTATCTGCTGCATGAGCTTGGCCCAGCTTTCGTAGGTAATTCTCTAGTCTCAACACCCATCTCCCAAAACGGGGAGAAGCCCCTACCCCACCCCACATTCACCTTTTTTGTCAAAATGAAACTTTTCCATATGGAGTCAGAGAAATGCTAAGTAGCTATGAGAAGGTTGAAACAGGCAGATTATGTCAGTTACTCGGTCCAGCCAAAGCTGTAGCGGCTTAATGACACTGTCCAGTCCACTCACCTCCAAACTGCAAATTTTCTCCATCTTTTCCCAGCTTTAATGCGAAGGTCAGCAGATGGTGAGGATACATTAACCGTGCAGGCAGGCGTGGAAAAAAAAGGAGGCCGCGTCACACCATCAGAGTCTGGTGATACTATCTCAAAAAATGCTATTCCCTGGGTAACCATTGATTTCCCGTGTTTAATAGTTGTTTTGTTTTCAACAGAAAACACTGTCAGTACCTTCCTTTCTTTATAAAAAGGCCAAAGCCTCAGTGACAAACTGAGGTCCTTCGAGCTGTGAGGTACTCTGTGTCCTCTCTGTCCTTGTCAAGGACACCCGAAGTAAGAAGAACAAGGTCTTGAAGTCAGACCTTTTAGACTGTGCACACCTACATTTAAACACGAATCGCCTCTTGTTTGCTTTTGTTGTACTCAATCGGTTGCAGCCTAAGATCAAAGGTGCATTAATACATTAATTGTATTAATTAAATCCTTCCTTTAGAAATATTCCATCTTTAGAAATAAACTTCCAAGTCCACACTTTGTGTTTAAAGAAAACAAGAAATGACTTACTGACCAGCTCAATAACACAGCATTACAGGCAAAGGTGATCCTCTTCCTGATGGGGCAAACTGCCAATGTCACGCTGATTGATGATGAAAAAAAAAATTCTACTTTATGACTGACTTAAATGTATAAACTTAACTGCAAAGTATCATTTCTAGAACATCCATCAGAAAGCCATGTTGGGTGCACAGCATTGCACCCTTGAGGGAAAGAAGAGTTATGTTTTAAAGAGGAGTGAAAGTTTAATGGTGCGGAACATGTATGTGATCTTGTAACAATCCCACTGTAATGGCGACACAGTAAAATTGTCCATTAGCGGAGGCCCATCGGTGTTTTTTATGTTATTAAACGAGCTCATAAGCATCAAGTCGCCACCACGAGCATCAAGTTATCTGATCGATGAGCACAGTGTGGCTGCCAATTACCACCGACCCTATTACCATGAATATGCAAATGAATCGATGCCAAGTGTATATCAACTGTCAGCTAATTGCCTGAGGCCTGAAAGGTTCTGAATTTAAGGGGACGTATGCATGTTTTTTTCCTTCATGTTCCATATTTATCTGTCTTTTGCTTTTCTTTTCTTTTTTTGCAGAATGTATAGGTGTAAACCACACGCACAACACAGCTGCCATTCAGCATCGGGGCTTTTGTTACACCTCAAAGAGGGACCACCTTTAGTATGAAGCTATATTTATTCAGCAGGAGGAATGAAGGAGAAAGGAAACAAGCATTTAATCTCACTTTCAGTCATGTATGTAAGCAGTTCCCTGTTGAGGAGACAAACACTGTCTACTACTGTGAGGAAATGTTTTGACAGCTTTTTCATCTTGCCTACTTTAATATGGAGGTCAAAGGTCAGATTTAAGTGTAGAACAGAACCCCTGGACCTCTAACAGATTCATTTTCTTGTGAGTTGACAGGTGCTGTAGGTACTACTGGTGTCAGACAGTGTCTGAGCTCAGTACGCTGTCTCGCTGCCCGAGTCACATGAATTATGAAAGGTTCTGAAGCAGGTGAAGGAAAAAAAGATGGAAAGTGTCATCCTACTCAGACACCTCTGTCTCAATATTCATTTTAAAGTAAGAATAGAAAGCAACATTTTATTGCTGACACCAAAATTTTACATTGCAAAGTCAACAGACAACACTCGTTATATCGCGTCCTGTTAGACTTGACACACTTGGTCAAATATCAAAGCACATGCCACTGAGAGTTCCTTTCTGCTTGTCTTGATCCTGGTCTTCACTCATTTCATGTGCACAGAATTGACCTCGGGCACACCATGTGGGGAAAAAAACATACCTGATGTGGTTTACAATAGCCTGTTTGCTGTGCTTAGTGAATGCCCAAGTCTGAAAGTCTCAATATGGCAATATGGCACCTGTTCACCTGTTTATCTGTTGCATTATCACTGCTTTGCACAACCAACTTGCACATTCTGATGATAAAAAAAAAAAAAAACTCTTAACACATACACTCTTTTCCAATCTTCCCTGACCCAGCTCTGCTAAAGAGAGCATAACTATAATTCAAACTCTTCCATTCACATCAGCACTACGTATAAGGCCAGCTCATCGTGGCAGCTTGTTGGACTGTCGTCAGCACTTCATCCTGTGGACGCCTGCCAGACAGAAGCCCTTCCGTCCGATCAATAGGCACCGGCGGCTAGCTTCCCCCCTTTGCTCTCTTTCGCTGTCTTTCCCTCCCTCTCTGGGCGACCACAGTATAAAGACTGTTCTGTTCTGCCAGCGCAGCATAGTGATTAGGCATTAGGCCTGTGCTGCTGTGTGAATTAGCCTAATCTGTGTCCGCGATGAAGGACGAGGCTTTTCATGGCCACTGGAGACATTCACTGGACATAAAAGAAGCTAATCTTTAGAAAACTTAGAGGGGATGGAGCATGTGTCAGTATCTGTGTGTATGTGAAGGATGGAGATTGCGCAGGAACTGTTGAGAGAGTTCCCACAGTGATAGATCATTTCTAATGCTTCTTATCCTTCAACAGTAAAAATAAATAAATACATTTAAAAAAATCTACTTCCTGAGGATGTGCAGCTCATGGGGAAGAGGAATGTTGTATTGTCATTTCTTAAAGTACTGGAAAAGTGGATAAAGTGCTGGCTGAAACAGATTGAGGCTGCCATCCATGTAGGGCGTATGTGAGGAAAAATATATTCCTTTATTCTTCAGTCAGTTTGAGGGGAATTAGAGGAGACTGAATTGTCACAAGGCTGCTTACCTGGCCACAGAGGAAGCTGCCTAAACCTGCAGATCTCAAAAGTTTTTTTGTTTCTTTTTTTTTTGTACTTTTGCAGCAACGGGGGCTTTGATGCGACAGAGAAAATACTAGCACTTTTTTAATCCTTGTACATCCTTATGTTAGTTGTCCATCATGCACCTGCCCAAGAGTTGACTTGCAGCAGCCTGAACATGCATCCACAGCATGCCTACCAGCAGCCCAGCCCTCCTCCTGCTCTCCTCCACATCATCTGCTTGATATATTGTATGCCCTTGACAAACTGCCAGCGCCCAATCCCCCTCCTGCAAATGTCTATTGATCAAAGCACAAGTATGGCTGTGGAAAAGGTATATAGTCTCACCCATACTCTTATCTTTTTATTACCTCTGGTGAGCCAGAAACTTACAGAAAAAGGGGAGTTCCAAAAAAGAAGGGAAAAAAAGTCGATTGATTTAGAAGTAAAACGCAGTAAAGTCCAGACAGCATGAAGAATATAAAAACTTTATTTCTGGTTTTGACTTTCAGCAGTCTAGCAAATAAAGAGCACCTCTATCTCTTTTGTTGACACGGTGCCTTTTTGCACCTTTGGAGTACTTTTACGCACAACCAGTGGTGAATTTAGGTCAGCAGCCAGCTGGTGCCAAATATCTGTTATGTGTTGGGTGATCTTTGCACAGCAGGAGTCTTGTTCCTGCGATGAGCTTCACAGTAAGCTCGCTGTTAAAAGCAGGACATCATATTTAACTCAGCCAACCAGTTTCATAAAAACATACACGAAGGAACCCAAAAGTCATCTTCACACCCCCTGCGCATTCCTCCAATATGCAAGTCGTACTAAAATGAAGGACCAGAAAGCACGGGCGTCTGTGGACCCGACAGCTTCCACCTCTCTGCCCGATACTGTAAAGGGGAAAATAACGCGATGACTTACCGAAATGAGATCCTGGCCACTGTCAGGCGTCTCCTCGTTTCCCTACTGTCCCTGGTCCGCCCCTCTTTCAAGTCAATCCGCAGTGTGCTCAAATCAGAACGGAGCTGTGAGCCTTTTCGCTGCGTCCTGCGTCCAGAGTTGCCGGGGATGGAACAACCATTTGCCGGGATGCTGGGGCGGGGGTGCAAGGCATCCGCAGGGAGGAGGATGAGAGGGATGTGGAAGAGACGGGTGAGAAGGAGGAAGAGGCGAGGTACAAAAGCGAGGAAGGAAGAGAGAGAGAGAGAGAGAGAGAGAGAGGGCGAGCGAGCAGCAATGCACTGCAGCGACAGGGAGGCAACACCACCGGAGAGGAGAGGAGGCAGACAGCAGCCCTCCGTCTCGGTCTCGCGCTCACTCGCACATGCGCGCGCACGTGCAGTTCTCTGTTAATAGACAGATATAGAGCGCCATCTTCAGGTTGACGTGTGGTAGGAAGGTGTTGGGAATCGAAATCTCGTATTAAAAATCATCTCTTGCGTCAAGTGTACCATTCAGTTGAAACCTCCTCCATAAAACGCCCTTTATTCCCTCGTCTCTTGTGTCCCACCATCTCCGATCATATGTATGCCCAAAACCAACTCTTATCCTAAAGCAACCCAAAATCTAAATGAGACCCTTAATCCCACTGCTGCTGCACACACACGCTCCATGGCAACCAGGTCCCTTTGGGGGTTATGATGATGATCACCTCGCGTCGGTCCCCTTTTCCTTTCCTGCTGTTGCGTCGTATAAGTTTCCCAACGCCAGAAAAAACGGAGTATTTCTCAGATGTGTAGTTGTATCATGAGTTAATTGTCCTGGATTGACTGAGATGAGGACTGAACCTTTTATTTCATCTTTGTTCTTTATCTGGCTTCTAATTAACTTCCACCTTCTTCCTTTCATTCTTTTGATTTTTTTTTCTCTGTCTGTTTAAGAAGTCAGTTGTGAGAAATAGCTCTAATTAGCCGACGTGATCCTAATTTCTTTTTCAGTGTTGAAATGTCAAAACTGTATTAATAGATGTATACCACCACATCACTATTCATAAGTAAAGGCTTTTGCATTTATTTCCATATTATAAGTTTATTTTAGATCGCATAAGTTTAATGTGTGGCAGTATCGTAACTCTCCAGTTCATAATATTTTATATTAAATACAATTTTTTCTTCAACAACAGTTGTGGCATAAGTTCCTTTTTTCAGAAGAAGTGCAAAGAAATTAAACTACCCAATTTGGTTTAATGACTGTAATGTTTGGGTCAGGATGCTGTTTTGGTGGTAAGATAAAAATAAAAATGCAGATTTAAAACTCACTCTAATGAGCTGTGGGGCTTTAATGCCTGTTTTTGGTCTTTTGAATGGCTTTAGAATAGACAACATTATATATATATATATATATATATATATATATATATATATATATATATATATATAATGACAATCTGTTGTGCAGTAGTATCATTATGTATTTATTGTGATTTTTTTTTTTTTTTAAATGTCTTGTACTTTTCCCCTGAAGACAAATAAGCAGTTACAAATTGAACTGAACTCAACAAATAAGAGCTTATCTACCAATACCAGACACATTTACTTCTTTAATTCTTTTATTTGAATTTAATCAGATGGCAGAGCAATAGTCAACATTGCTCAGTGAAAGTAAGTAGTAAATACAGTTTGAGATTCATCCCCATGACAAATGCAGGTAAGCCTGACATCATGTAAGGTGCTCTTTTATTTTATTTTATTTTTTAAATTAATTGTCAATCAAAGTGAAGGATTTTGGCCAAACGGTGACTCGGGATATCGATCCCAAATATCTATTTTTTTGTTTATTTATTGTCAGTATGTGTGTGTGTGTGTGGGGGGGGGGGGGGGGGGGGGGGGGGGGGGTGTTAATAGCATCTGAGCAAGATTTTTTGAAATTATTAACAAGCACAGCCACTGACTCACCTCTCATTAGCTTCATCTCGCAGCTACGTCAGAAAGACAGGGAGGATGGTGTTCTCTCGTCACTGCAGACAGCCACATTTCTCCCAGACAGCAGCTGGTGTCATCATAAACAGGCAGAGTTGGGAAATTCAATACTGGAAACTGTTCTGTTCTTTTCAATCCATTTTAATATTTTTAACAACTTTATTTGCTGAACTTCAGTCAAGTCTATGTTTAATTAAAAGCATAGATCAACTTTCTATTGTAGCTACTGGTCTGCATATGTGTTCCACTTTTGTCAAGTTACCACAAAATGTTTTAATATTTCACTTCCTATGCCTGTTCGCATGCTTTTCTTTTTTGTGTGTTCTTTATGCGCTCTAACGCCATATGGAATCGTTTTGAATTTGTTGTCTTCATCTTGCACATATGGGCAAAACTAAGTTGCACTATCATCCCATGCTGTAAGCCAAAATGGAATTTAAACGCTAAACACTAAAATCTCTTACATATTGCAAAAGATTTGCCTTTATTCTTCTGAATATCTCTGCCTGCTGCTTACCAGTCTGTTTAAAGACCAGAAACCGATTTTGGTGAAGCTGGAGAAGTTAAAATATATATATATATATAAAAAAACAAAAACAAGGTGAATAGGGTGAGTTCAGTTTGTCTTCTGCCTCTTACTTCCGCTCCCAGAGGATCACGAATGGAACGCAGAAATGCAGGTTTAAAGATTTACCACTAGGTGGAGCCAGTGAACTTATTTGTCACCCAAATAAGTTAAAAACCATTCATATTCAAATGTTTGCGTCTCTGATATAGATTTGTGAAAGATAACGACACGTGTTAATGTTGCAAATTTAAACAGATTCATATTTTGGAGGATTAAATTGGCTGATTGAGTGGCCAGCTGTGGATTGAAGGAATGACATTGCTTTAAGCATTACGTTTGCAGCTTAAAGGTCATGCTGGCTCTGTTAACAGAGGCTTAGAAGTAGTTTGTCAATTACATGCAAAATATTTACTACGGTTGTGTCCCTAGAGATGTTTTACATAAAACATTGCATAATTCTTTCTTCTTTTTTTGGGTGGCGTGCCACAGTGTACAGTCATGTCCCTGGCATGCCCGCGAAGTGTGTTAAAGTCCACTCGTTGCAGGAAGTGCTGATTTGCCCTGTGTTGAAATACATTTCACCTACAGTGGACTCTCACAGTTACCATCAAACAGGCATATTTTAAACCATGTATCCAATGCCATTATTGTCTTTTATTCGGTCAAAAATGTGACCAAAGTAACCCACCAGCATTTGTTGGGAGAGAAAAACCCACACAGTGTTTTAACAATGCCTGACTTTATTAATGCACGGGAAGCTCAGAGACAAACAGGTTTTATTCAAATGGACTATGAGGTACAAGGAAACAGCTTTATTGGAACTAAAACCAAACAGCATGCCCTCTTCTTGCTGATCTTGGAAAAGAACTCGCATAGTCTGTGCTGAGTTACGAGAAGGACAAGTTTGGCATCACGTTCTTGAAGTTGGCTACGAAAAAACTGCAATGACTTCCTTAAAAAGATGATGACACGGATTGGTCCCTGCCCATCCGCCTCTTGAGAGCTGAAAGAACACGGACCTGAAGGGGATCCTGAAGACCGAGGTGGAGCATGTATTTAGCACACTGCAGAAGTGAAGAAAGCAGGATGAGGGGACTAAAGTGAAGAAATTTAGAGATGAGACTTAAGTTGGAAGTAAACAGGCCGAGATGATGCCAGCGGCGTGTCTAAAGTAGTGCACAAGCATTAATTGTATTGTTCAGCCCATTTGCTGCTCCCTCTCTAGTGTTTGAAGATAGGTGACAAATAAAAGGAAAATCTGAAGCCTGGTGATTCAGTGACTCTGCTATGCAGTTTGGAGGCATGCTTTTATCCTGATGCGGGTGTTCTCTTGGATGTAAACGCTCCCATTGCCAGTATGAAAATGATGTGACGTCACTGGATTTGTCTGGAACACAACCAAAAACCTGTGAGGGATTTTGGATCGACTCTCCACCACTATCATCAGGAAATATTCTCATGTGGCATCAAATACATACGAGAAACAAATCTGCACATAGATCATAGAAAAAAAAGAACTTTGACAAAACTACAGACTAAACCACTGTGGATGCAGCTGTGCTGTTAAGCTGAAGTTGTTTACGTGTGTGTGTGTGTGTGTTTGCAAGTGTGTGTCTGGGTGTGTGTGGTATTTCTGGTATTTTTGCTATGACAACAACGATATCAATAACAACTTATTCATTACATTAATGAAAAACTGCAATATAGAGAGAACAGATAATCCATCTGATCTCTCCATATTACAGGCCTCAGCGAGTGCAGGCCTGGCAGGACCAGGTCAGGTAACCAGAATCCAACTAGCACCCTCTGCATGTTACCTGTACACTGTTTTCCCGTGGAGGGCTTTTGTTTTCTTCTCTTCCTACTGAGCAAGTAATGCATTAAAAGAAGCAGGATGTCCAGTATTGCTGAAAACTATGACAGAGGTTTCAGGGGACAAGTGGCCACAACCCAGGATGTCGTGCCAAAAATTCTTGTCTGCCTGCTGAGACCACAGGGCGAGTCCAGAAGTAGCAACAGTAGCAGTCCACCTACAGTAATACTGATCATAACAGACACAAACAAAGAAGGCTAGAAAAAGGAGAGAAAGGAAGAGAGTCCGAGAGGTGAATCAGAACCGAGACATATTTCCCATCTGTATGTCTAAAATGTAGATGGGAGCATTAATAAAATGAAAAAAAGAAAGAAATATGCCAACATGTCTCTATTTACTTCTAACAAAAGACTGAGTAATATTCACGGCAATATTTGTGAATATACTTTTAAAATTATTAAAATAACAACAACAACAACAATAATAATTTGAGTTTTGTAAAATGAATATAATATGAAATACTAAAAAGTTCCACACATATTACCTTAACCTTGTTTATATGTATAGGGCTACAATAAACCTAAATAATCCTGACACATGCACAGCGAGCTGTTTGATGTGCAGCTAAAAGTAAGACACTTTCTATTAATTATGATTTTAATTTATTACCCATGTGAAGGCAGCTGGAACCGGTTTTAACATGCGTGTTCATTGTCATGTCACACATTTCTAGCACTCTCTGCACTCTTTACAAGTGACACATAAACTCTACACAAATGCATTACACTTTCATGTAATCTGTAAAATAATGGCCCTAGAATTCTAACTCGTGTTTTTTCTTGTTACTGTTTTGCTGGAGAACTGAAGAAGCAAAGAGTTGCCTCGGTTAGTGAGAGTGCTATAATCAAAGAACTTCCCTAAAACGGAGGATGTAAAAATGTAGCATACGGTAACAGAAAACCCCACAAGATGAGTCTTTCAGACAAGTTAAACCAAGTTCCTGTTTTTAGTTCTCTCTTCTTTTTTTTCCTTTTCTTTTTTAAAAAAAAGAAAAAATCACAACTCTATAGTCTGTCTGCACTTTCATTCATAAAATCTGTTGCGACACAGTTTTACAAGAAATGCTGTCAGTAATCTGTTTTCATTTAGGAATATTAAGCAACCGTGTATTCCAGGATGTGTGTGAAAGTCACACCCTCATGTCAGTCTTTCACTGTGAAAACTGGCCACAGTACATGCGGGTATGCATGCAAAAAGAGACTGAGACTGCAATAAAGAGCAAAATGGAATAAATGACTCTGATGTTTACATTAAATTTGTTTAATGGTGCAGTAACTGCAGCAATTCATCAATAGTTGTCAGACGGAGATAGCGGCATAAACACAGAATGACTAGATAAGATTGCATACAACAGGTCACGTAATATTCGCATGTACACGTCATGAGAGACAAAAGCAAAAGCATTAGGTCCAATTAGCATGCAGCCTTATTGCATTTTTAAAAATATGCGTTACAATTAAAGAGGAAACACAACCAAAATGATCCCCAAAATCTGACAAGAAAATAATAAAGCAACAATCTAACTACCAGACTCAGAGTTTACCTTAAGCCTTATGTTTGCTAACAATGCTGAATAAAAATTGAAAATTTTATTTACCTAAACATGGAGAATGCAACGTTCCTTACTCCACCTTGGTTTCTGTTTGGTGACTGACAGTGTGTGACACATCCATTCTTTCATCTGGGCAAGGCCACACGTGAACTTCAGCAAAAGGATCACAGTGTTCCCTTAGCTTTCCCACGGACGCTTTATACTTCAGTGATGTGATGCCAAAAATATGCATATCGTACAATAAAGCAAATCTATCAAGGTCAGCATACAGTGCATGCTGTGAAGTGAGCTAAAACAAGCAAAAACACTGGTGTGGACCTTTGATGATCCAAATCAGGTAAACGACAACACAGAGAAAAAGCCACTATCTCCCCGCAGATCTGACAGGTGTGGAAATATTTTTTTAAGAAGAACGTGATTAATTACTTCTAGTGACTAACCTACCCCTTTTTACGAGGCAGATTTCAACAGCACACTTTAAGCACATTAAGCCACATGCAGTATTGTAAGAACAAGATCTTGCATTTTATGCACTTTTTTTGCAAAGGCCTTGAGTGCAACACTTTGAAACTCCCCCACTACGCTTGTTGATATTTTTCATTGTACTCTAAGACATCAGCCTGAAAAACTAATTGCAAAAAAAAATTTTTTTAAATTAAAACTCGCTAATCCTGAGGAGTATTTTCTTTAACATTTATATAACTCTTTTCTTATTCTCACACTATGATTTACTCACAAAAGCTGCCACCTTTGTATTTTTCTAAGACAGCTTTATCTTTGCTCCAAGATCCTAGAAGGCCTGAATCATGCTTGATTAGCTTTTTTCCATTTTACCAGTAAACAATTTCCCGTAAGAAGGAAGTGATTTGGTCTAGTTGGGTGCAGGTGTCTAAAAGGACAGTAAATAAATCCTGTCCAGCATGCATGAAATACTTGACTGCATTCCTCAAGCAGTAAGAACGTCATTGTAGCCACAACAAACACCCGAAGTCCTTAATGCACTTGCTGCAGTGCTTGATGTGCAACCTTAATGTAAATGAAGGATTCGTAAAATGAAACGCTTCGACTTGCAGCTGACTGCAGGCGACGACTTTAAGCAACTTTATTGACGGAAACGTAATGATTTAAAAACATATGACATTGTGTGTCTCGGTTTATCCCACACATAGTTTGTCAGTGAATCAACAGAAACAAGATGAATCTTGCTGCGGAACATCATCAGCGTCTTTGATTGCTGTCTTGGATGCACTGGTGAGGTCCCACGATGCATTGCTGCCTGGCAACACTGTCATAATCTGATGGATGTCTTTAATTAGTGTCAATTCCACCACTGTAGCAGACATGTGCACCCACACATATTTTCCTTTCCTTAAAAAAATCCAGAAAAACACTATTACTGGGGCTAGATAAACTCTTACTGGTAACAGGCAGCGCCACTGTCAAAATAGAGTCAAGTGAAAGAGTTTGCAAGAAATTCAGTCCTTTTTCTTTTAAGTGTTTCTGCAATTCATCCTTAAAAAAAACAAAACAAAAACAAAAAAAAAACAAAAAACTCAACAAACCAAACCCAACTGGTTAGGAAGTGGAGCATTGTTAAGGTTGCAGCAAAAAACACAAAACAAAACTGTGGGAATCGATTGTGCAAGTAGTTTTTTCCCACAGTTTTTGCCATGCTTTGTTATATAAAGAGATTTGTTTGCAACAATTCCGAATAAGTTGGGTGCGTGACCTGAAATGCTACATATTACAGAGTTAACCTTTGACCTGGCTGCATTAGAAAAAAAAAATCATCATTGCAGAGATCTAATCTTAGACAGAGTGAAAGATGCTACCCCCCAACGAGTTTAAACAAGTTCTGTGTTAAAATTGTTTTGTGTGGTAAATCCATTTTGAGCCTCAGCTGTTGCCCCCTCCCACCTGTTTACAATGGAACAAAGCATCTCAGGTGGATTATATATTGGGGTGCATATGGCAAAATGTGCTTTTGTTTTTTATTATTTAGCTTATTCAGAACTGCTGTGTGTCACGTGGCCTTACCAAATCTTTAATCCTGACAGTATATTTTTGGGGAAATCCATGACAGTACCTTTAATATCTGCTTTTCACAGATCGTATTTATAGTCTTCTACTTCTTGGCCACGCAGGCTTGAAGGGTAGGAGAATAATTGTTTGACAATACTATGCCTATCTTCTCTGTCTTTTTGCAAAATCAATCTATTCACATGCATTATGCGGTATGTCCATATAGGTTATAATGGACTGGATGTGCATTTGAAAGCTCTAAAAGCATATTAAGTTTAAAAAAAGAGAGAGAAATGGGAAAAAAGAAAATATAGTTTTGACTTTAGCAAAAAGGGAAATGTCTGTTCCAGAAAGTTCACTTGTAATTGACTACACTGAGAATTATGTAGGGAGGTAGCATAACTACTGTAGATACTTTTAATAGATACATTTAAAAAGTAGTCGACCATGAAAATCAACGCGCATATAGCCTCTGGGAACATTTGTGACACAGCAGATTCTTCTCAGTAACATTTTCTGCATAGTGCTTTCATAGTACATGAATGAATGAATGGACAAAGTGGAAACATTTAAAGATGAACACGTGTGACATTTGGGTACAGAAGGTAATGACTAACATGCCATAGACGCAAGAAATAAGGAGGGCAAATTACTGATAGCGTGCACTACTCGGATTTGCCAGATTAAATATTAGGTCCATCAGCTTGGAGCTATATTTGGCAGTTTCACGAAAACATGAAAGCCTGCCCACAGCATGAGCTAAACAACGTGCACGCATCCTGCACTCTTTACCTCCACTCTGTCACAGCAACCTTTGGCGTCAGCGTACATTTTGCTATTTCGAGGTTGAATCTTTTTTTTCTTTTTTTTTTTACACGTTAATTTATGTTGAAGTAAAGTGAAACCTTAGCGAGGACGGAAGTAATGTCACATGCTGCGTAAGGCAGGACGTGATTCCTGCGTGATTCCTTCGCTCAAAAGCCACAAGAACCGCGGGAATAGAGGGAGGACGAACACGTATAGTTTCAAACTGTAAAGCCATAACTTTGAAGAATTTCAGCAGCAATGAAGACGCACTCGATACTGCCCGCTTCCAACATTAGCCCGAGGTGAATATGAATGAAGAATGACCAATGGTAAGTAATAAAGCATGCCACTTAGGTACACGCAAATGGCCTACGATGGTGACGCACTGAATTAAACTCACTTAAAACCATTAAATCGGTGACAAGTTAGCGCTGATATCAGGTCAGTGTTAATGCATGAATGAAAATGCAAACATGCAAAGCCAGTACCAGGTAAAGCAGCGTAGTCTAGCGTATTCGAAACTTACCGGGAGCTGACTACACGCGCATCCGTCTCACTGCCTTCTCCGACGAGCGACTGGCGCATTTACTGTTTAGAGACTTCAGAGTTTTCCACATAGGGGAATTCCGTGCTAATAACTTCCCATGTGCCAGTAATAAGGAAACTGAAATAGAAATAGGATTTACGGGAATTAGCTCATGGCTTACAGGAATTGGTAGATTAATGAAAGACTTCTTGAAATCCCACTCAAGTTTAAGTTCAGTAAGATACCAAATCATGCATTCGTATAAACACGCGCAAACCTATACATATGTTAATAAACTCCATACAGAAAGAACACATTGACTGCGCTAGAACCCAAGTCAAAAACAAGATTTCAGTTAGAGTACAGGTGACTAAAAAAGTAAAGTGATCCTACTGAATAGAGTGTGGAGTTCAGTACTTGACCAGTACCTGCTCATTTTAATTGTTTGGTTAGTTAAAAGTGTGTCAATTTCTAACTTCTTAATAGTATGTGGAGCAGTTGCTTTGCATTGTATTAAATAGCATTAACATGATTTGTTTTCTTTTAAAAAAAAAAAGTACATAGACATGTATAGTCAAGTAAAATGTGCAAACTCCTCTCTGAAATCGAGGGAAGTTTAAAGTAGTGTTGAATGAAAACTTTTGAGTACAGTCACAGTAACTCAGAATTGTGCTTGCGTCAATGTACTATCAATATTTCAGTTCGAGGAAAAACTTCTGTGAACCTACTGGAATTACCAAGAGTTTTGCTTTCGTGACTTGTAAAATGTAGTTGGATCATCGTCAAAGTCTCTGACTAAATGGGAAATAAAGAAACTTTTTGTGTCCACTCATGGCTGCTTCTAAAGGTACTTCGTCATAGTTATTCCAGTCAAGGAGATAAGATTTGGAGCATAGTTGTGGAGGTGCCCCTCCCTATTAATCGAGGGATACAAAGTCTATAATGTCAGTGTGGCTCTTCTGAAAAACTATTGGTGTGTCACCATTCACAGGACCTTTGAGGAACTGCATTGAAAAGATGCAAAAAGATGAAAAATGTCTCAAAGGTTTTTAAAGTCCTGCGTTTCAACAGTAAAAATAAATTACCTGTAAAATACAGAAAATTCATGATTTGTTACTACTTGAAAGGATCATTTCAAGAAAATGATCTACAATCCTGAACAGGTGAACTAAAACACAAGGGCAATAGTAGAAGACGTGCAGAAATCTTTACAATTTGCTAAAGCATGTGTTCACGTGTGAGAGAAATGCTAGTGCTATTTCCTTACTACTTCTACGGCTCACCTCTGAGGAGAGGTGAAACTGAAGCTAAAATCCCAGCGCTACACTTGGAGCAAAGCCTCATCTGAGTTGTGAAGCACGGTGGAGGGACCATCATGTTTTAGGGTTGCTTTTCTACTTCAGGGTCTCAGTGGCTTGTACTCCCTGAAGAGATCTCAAAATAGTACAAAGAAATTTTACAGGTGGAAATATCGACAAAGTTCTATGACCAGAAGCATAGGAATGTTATAATTAAATAGATCAAATTTTAGAAATATTTCATTAAGTAATGCTGGTAATTCAACAGGTTCACAAATCTTTACTTGCAACTCTGTGTAGTAGGTTTATGTGTAACATTATGACAATTATTTGATCGTTGCTTTTGCTTTTTTTGCAGTGTTTGGCTGTGGTTTAAAAATGTTAGGTGCATTAGTATGAACTGAAAAATGTATATAGTATTTTCTTTGTCTATCATGCAACCAGAGCTGTAAGCAGAATAAGAATGATCTCAGCTTTGGAGACACTAAATCGTGGTGCCTGGGAACCAAATTGTCCTAAATGTAATTTATTGTCAAGTGTGACGGAGGTTCCTCATTTGCTGTTAAAATGTCAAGACTGAATGAACATTTCAGCATTTCATTCATTGCTGGAAGGGTTGGCCACAAATTTCGGAACTGAACTGAACTCTGTCCGAAAACAACAGAAACCTGTTTTGAAGAAATACTTAATCCATGAGAAAACTTCTGCCACCGAGTGTCAGTGTTACAAACTCCTCAAGGCTTCATTTAAGACTGTGTCATTTTAGCTCATTACGTTTAATGTGACACTTTGGTAAATATACTTAAATCTGGAGAGATTAAGATTTGCTCATAAAACACTAACAGGTGGGACATGTTTTACGAAATTCAGTGAAAGATTCCATCCGTGACACACACAAATCTAATTCGACTATAAAAGAACTCGTTACCTTTTTAATCATTAATCCTAACAGTAGTAATCGCTCTTCTGTGATCAAAGGGACATTGTCATGCACCCACATATACTTGATTAGAAACCCTATTGCTACACATGTAGTGCAACGTATCTTCAACCTCATTTGGAAAAAAAAAATGTAACTCTTCTGTCTCCTACACATAGTCGAGACATATCGGGTTAAGTAATCAGCAGCATGCATTGTTTTTCTTGTGCATAACTCACGATGTGCAGTCTTTCCAGATTTGAAAGTCACCTGTGCATTTCACAGAGGAGGGCACAGCTGGTTGTTTAAAATGCTTTTTATGCAAATATGTTTTAGATTTTTTGGCTGACCGCTATGTTTCTGTCTCACTCTTTCTCTCCCTATATCCCCCACACTCTGACCCTAAACCTTAAGCCTCTTTTTTGCATCAGTTTCCTTGTTCTCCTTCTTCTACCTCTCTCTCTGTCCTGTGGTAGTGTACACCTTGATAACATCAGAAGTGATTATATCACCATCATTCAAACGGAACTGCAGAGGACAGTAAGTAAGACACTGATTCTATTTTTATGCCAAGTTTGTTTTAGATAACTATTTGAACTTACCATGTAGACACGCTGCTTAACCCCAAACATTGTGTGCTCAGTTGTAACTCTGTATGTATACAGATATATATCAGCTGGGCTAAAGGTCTTTGTTGTAATCTAAGAAAAAAGCATTAAATCTCAGTTACAGCTCAAAGGCTAATTCCCCTCTAATACAGATGGATTGATGTATCCCAGGATTTCAGTATAGATCATATTAACTGTACAAAAATCATATAGGTGTATATATGACATATGATCACCAAGGACGAGATGGAAAAAGTGTAATAGGAAGCAGCCAGGTTACAGCAAAAAATTTAGACACTGGAGGTGGGAATGGTGCAAAAGGAGCTGCAACCTAATATTTGGCATCAGATGTTGGACTTTCACCTAATCCTTTTTAAGTACTGGCAAGAAATATCTGGAGGCAGCTGTACAGGGAGAAGGAAACTAAGGCAAAACAAGGAAAAGAAGCTGGTTTGCGTGTTTGGCGTGAAACATGAAGTTAGAAAGAGTCACTCACATGCTATTTTAAGGTCAGCTGTGCAATTAAAAATACACGTTTAAGCCAGCTCACACTTCCTGTCAGTCTATAAATCTAACAAGTGGTCTCTGGAAACTTCTTTTCATACAGTGCAAGGTTACTACAGATATGCACTGTAAATAACTGCCATTTACTGTAACTACCTACTATTTACAGTATATTACAGTATTTACACACACACACACACACATATATATATATATATATATATATAGCCTCAAGCTCCCAGGCCTCTGGTAGAGGACCCGAGCTTGAAGGATAAACCGCCCGCAGGGGCGTGCTGGGTGTTTATATATATATATTTATATATATACATATATATATATATATATATATATATCCTGTGGGACTTCCAGATACAGACGGACAAAATGGTGGTGGCTAACCAACCGGACATAGTGGTGGTAGACAAACAGAAGAAGACGGCCGTAGTGATCGATGTAGCGGTTCCGAATGACAGCAATATCAGGAAGAAGGAACACGAGAAGCTGGAGAAATACCAAGGGCTCAGAGAAGAGCTCGAGAGGATGTGGAGGGTGAAGGTAACGGTGGTCCCCGTGGTAATCGGAGCACTAGGTGCGGTGACTCCCAAGCTAGGCGAGTGGCTCCAGCAGATCCCAGGAACAACATCGGAGATCTCTGTCCAGAAGAGCGCAGTCCTGGGAACAGCTAAGATACTGCGCAGGACCCTCAAGCTCCCAGGCCTCTGGTAGAGGACCCGAGCTTGAAGGATAAACCGCCCGCAGGGGCGTGCTGGGTGTTTTTTTTTTTATATATAGACACAGTGCAAACCCACAACTACAGTTGCCTCTCTGTTACAATAATAGAAAACCCCAACAATCAGACACCCCTTGAAAGCAAGCACTCGGCGACAGTGGGAAGTAAAGCAGTTCCTTTTAACAGAAAGAAACCTCAGTATTTACAATTAAGCAAAGTTTGGGGGGGGGGTTGCCTTTAGTTGTTGTAAGGTTTTGATCGGAAGAAATATTGCTCAGCATCAACATTTTTCTCTTCTATCTATGGACACCACCAAAAATATTAAAAGCAATATGTCCTTCCAACATTCTGAAAAATAACAAAAAACACTAGTTGCTTTTTGAATGTTTGAACAATCTTTAGTGGTATGACTAACATTGACTACTTCATGTTTTGTTCATTCAAGACAGAAGAAATCACAAGCTTGCTGCAAAACTCAGACTGTTCAGTATTCTCACACAAGCTACGCAACTGCACACCAGGCAACGCAGTGAGTCATAATTATTCTGTATCTATCAGATAAAATGCATAATGATGATACATTTAGAAGGTAGCCCTTTTTAACATGCACCTGTTCACCACTGCTCTAAACAGTCAGGCATTGCATTACCATAATCATAATCGTAGCTGGACCCAGGTGTTTAGCTATGCAGCTTAATAATCATTTCAGATTTTGTAGTCGCTGATTGTACTGCATAGAGTTCATTGTTAAGTTTAAAAGGTCTCACCTCTCTTCTGCAGACGTCTGTGCGTACCTTACATAACCTAACCTGCAAAATGCGGAGTTTACCGTTTCTCCAGATGACTCTACAACTGATCACGTCCGTCGAAATTTCGATGAGTTGCCATTGTCGTGAGAAATCAGTAAGTCTTGACTTTTTACACATTATCTGATGTTAAGAAATTTACCCCAAGCCTAACCCAGCCACACTATTAAAACCACCTGCATGATATTTTGAAGGTCGCCCTCATCTCGCCTCATGTTACAGCTCTTACCATTCAGTATGTGCACCTGTCCTCTGAGGGTGTCTGGCACTGAGGTGCTCTGGGTTGCAAAGTAGGTCCTCTGTGGATCAAGTTTATTCTGTACATGAATGCTCAGTTGGATTGGCCTTAGATAGTCAACACCTTGGACTATTTGGCCCATTTTTCAAACTCTTTCTGGTAGGGAAGATTACTGCTATGATTTTTGTTTCTATTGCAGTCATATTGCAGTGCTTTGCACTCTATGAGTTATTCACTTCATCTGACATCAGCCTAAATGTTGTAGCTGATTGGTGGAAACATGCAGTTTAAGTTCACGTTTGTACTTTAAACCTTGGAAGTGACCAGCTTAGGAAAGTATTTCTTTCAGTTTCTCTGACTGAGATGCAACATTTAACATTGACAACTGACGGAATGGAATGTTGGCTGGCTGAAGCGTTTTATCTTGCCAGACAGTGGATGACTCACTGACAGGTGATGAAGCTGCCCGGCTTTAAGAGTTAATTCAAACAGAAGACTGTTTGTTTCTTAAACTACTTTACCTGGTAACAGGGTATAAGAGTAGGAGAGACTCGAAAGAGGCAGGAACTGCAGATTGGTCTCTCATTGGTTATGCTTGTGGTAATCTCTCCTCACCTTACTGAGGGAGATAATTCAAAGAATGCTATAGAAGTTTTTTACACAAACTATCATGGGAAAAAACAGCCCAAGTAGTTCTAGATCAGTGACGCACCGTGTTGTTCACCCAAATTAAATTTTAAGAGTTGGATCAGAATCAGATTATATGATTCAGATTCATTGCTGAAGTCTGAGTCACACAGCAGAGCAAACCGCGGACTCGCAGAGTGCACCTAGTCTGACCAGACAAGCTCATGCTTAAACATAGTGGCTCACATTGTGACATATTTGATTTGATTTATTTTAAACAAACTTGCATTGTGCAAAGATCAGCCACTTTTCACTCAGTTCTTCATGATGCAGAAGCAGGGAAACGGGCACACACACAGCAGCTCTTGTGGAGTGTTCCCAGCATGCAGTGGTTATATACCTCACAAAACGTGGAAACATTGGGTCCTGGTATTTAAGCTGGTGTTACTTAATACTTGCCTAAACAGTTTAACATGACAACAATAATACAGGAATACCACAGTAAATCTTCGAGATGTTGACTTGGGCTCCAAATCCCTTGGATGTGAATCCAACTGAGAATCGTACTGAAAGTTTTTCCAAATGAGTGAGCCTCACATTTCAGGACTATAAGGACCTGATGTTATCATCTTGATGTCTGATACTATGAAACGCCTTCAAAGGATTTGTGAAATCATCTCCGTGATAGAGCTGCCTTAGAAGTGAGGGAGACCTATGTAGGTGTTCGTAATGTTGTGACTGATGTGCTTTGAGTAAACCTCACATACATACTGTGGCATTGTATGGTGATTGTAATCTACGCTTCAGTTTTCTGTGCAAAGAGTTAAGTTGGTGTGTTTCAGTTCACAATAAGGGATAAATAGTCCTCAATAACGTGCAGGCTACGTTGCTGTGACAGTACATATTTGCTAAGAATGCCTTCATAATTTATCATTGTAATGCTAATTCCTTACCTTTATCCACTTGACTCAACAATAATTAGCATGTGTCTGTGTTTTACTGACTAGATCAAAATGCCCACTGAGAGTTTAAAGAGGAGAAGGGGAGCAACAAGACGAAGGAGGAACGAGGGGACGAAAAACAGAAAGCAGACTAAAAAACTGTGCAAAGCCAAGGCAATTCTTTCCGCCATGACTGAATGCTACCAGATGCTAAACTCTCTATAAATGGATACCTGAATCCAAACTCAATCACAGCATGAAGCTCAAAACTTGCATGCGCTGTCAGTTCCTCTGCAGTATGCATTGCTTCGGTGGATTATGCGAGGAGGAGCTTCCACTTCATTTAAGCTTTCCTGTCAAGTACCAGTATATTTCTGTAGCAGCTGTTTCAGGTGTTGTATGACTACTGACTCTTCAGATAAGTTTCCCAGCCACACAGAAGCAAAATATTCAGTCAAGCGGAAATGAAATTCCTAAGTCTTCCTAATATCCTGATTTCCCACACACTAAGGACCAGCTGCATATACAACCTTTTATGCAGCATCATGTGGACTACAAACAGTTTAAGGTGCATGTTTTCTTTTTTTATTATCACAGCAAAGCGTTTTAATAGCTGAAGTTGTGTTTAGCTATAAAAAGTGGATATGATTAACTTTAAAGGTGCTTAAACTGAACTTTGTTTTCGAAGCACTTGCTACGACATTAACTTGCACTTAGTAGTGGCTGCTGAAGCATGACTAGGAAATATTAAGGTGCTCAGATATAGTTTTGCTTTCACTTTGGATTGGAATAACTAGCCCTGGCAGATCTTTTTTATCTTGGTTATCTAAAGCTCCTCAATTTTTGTTTTTAATTTTCCTGTCCGGGGAGTTGTTTTAGGCTGTGTGTCAAGGTACGGTCTGAGATGACACTGTGTTGATTACTCATTGACAATGATTTATATATTAAAAGCATGCTTTGCCACAGTTATTTAAGCTCAGGTCACAGACCTTTTTTTTCCTATCCTGGGATATAGCTACAGTACGAGCTTTTACTGTCACAATCAGTTGGTGCTCTGATTAATGTTATCCACCTAAAAACTTTTTTCCCTTTTTACACAATTATAGAAAATATAAGCATGCAACCTTTGCTACATTTTGCAGCTATTTTCAGCACAGCAGCTATTTGTTTCCCGTCATGTAGCATACATTATGTACTACATAACATTATGTTGTTATGTAGCTAACTTCTGTCTTTAAACTGTATATTTAAGCTGATGACTAACATTGTATATAACATGGCATACTATTCAAAAAATATATTTATATCCCAAACAAAGATAAGGTGTGTGTTACTTATTAGTCAGACTCACAATTACAGCTGTCTTCAAAGAGGTTTATTGATGGTGGATGTACACGGCATTTGGTGCACAATCATATCCAGTCTAACAGCTGACGTTATCATTACAGGAAAACGCAGCCCTCCAGTAGGCTTAAACCTTTCTCGTGACGTAACGTGAATATAGTTTGTTACCGGGAATAAATGCCCTACTTAGATAATAATTAATCATGCACCTCAAGGAGAGATTTGTCCCCGCTCTTCCAAGTCCCACCATAAAATAACCTATGTGGGGGTCATCAAGCAAAGGTCGACAGCAAAATTACTTTAGTGTTGATTCTAAATACCTTAATGCACTGAACACTGACTCAGTAGAAACACTGTTGAGAAAGGGGAAGAAAAAAAAAAGCAATTTCAACACACTGAGGTGTGTTTTGGTTTCACACAATTCCAAATGAAACCTATTTTAATTCTGTAGAACATAAAAGAACAAATAAAAACCATACAATCACTGTTCAGTCAGTAAAAATGAAAAGGAATAAGAAAATAAATAAATGTATAAACCTAGTGGGAATAAAGGGAATGAGTAAATGCTACATTTGGGTATAATGTATATGGGATAACAGGTTTTTCCTGTTAAGTGACCTTAAAGGGAGCACTGACCTGTAACCACTCAACCTTTTTTGGATTGGTTCCTAAGAAAACAGGGTGATAAGATAAAAATTTGAAGCCATTTTCTTTTTTTAAAAAAAAAAAAAAATCACACTGCTTTCTTCAGTAGTCGTTATTATTGCACATCAATGTGGAGACAGGTGGGGTTGAGGAATGCACTTCAAATCAAGGGCTGAAGAGCGATAATGATGCAGGGCAGTTAATCTCACCTCTAATCAGCCACCCAACATGTTTCCTTTCTTTTTTTCCAAACCCACTTTTAATTCATCTTTCCTCTACTCCCTTCTAAAGATGCATAATATTTAATAGCTTCCTTCCAATGACCAACCACCTCTCCTTTGCTGGAAATATTTATTTCTCACAAATTCTTAAACCCTCTATGACCTGTAGTTTCATGGCAGTAATGCTCATTTTATAAGTGCATGGAAACAGCAGCAATGCTGTGAGCAAATGAAGCAGTGAAAGAGAAGCTACTTACGGGATGTGCTTGTAAAAGCCACATCATGATTTAAACCGATTAATCTGTGTACCAAATCTGTTCGGCACAGAGATCAACCGGTCACTAGTCAACGCAAAACACAGTAGCTAAGTGCACTCCTTATTGTAAGTTATGCAATGAAATTTGGATAATATTCAGTGTGACTGCACACACCATCTTTACTGCCAGGAAATAAAATCAGTGTGGGAAAATAAAGATGGAATTAATTACTCTTTCACCTTTCCCTCAATTCTTATTACCTAAATCCTAACCCTGCTTTCGTTTTCTTCTGACTGCTATCAAATACACATCCTCCTGACCCCACACTCGCAGCAGAATTTGGCAGATTCAACAGGGTACTTTGTCCCACAAGCGTGACAAAACTTGCTCTTCATTCCGCCGTTCCCAACATCGTTCGCGCCATCTATATCATTCCTGAGAAAACAGAAAAGACAGCAGCAACTTTAGAATTTGTGCAGACAAAGTTGCAACTAGTGAAACGTCAGGGCAAAGATCTATTTGGATTTTACACGTCTTTATACGAATGTCAATGCCACTTAAGCCGATGCCAAGTAAACTGGATTATCCCATATTTCCCCTCAGCTTGATTAAATGGGAAATTGTTTTGCTCCAAAGCAATAACGATAATCAAAGCAACCAGAAGCTAGAGACGTATGGGTGGCAAGGTTGATATAACTGTGCATGCAAGTTTCTTTTGTTTAAATGAATGTGCAGGTAAGACTCATCCCTAATTTTTTTTTTTTTTAAACTTTCTTAAAGTAAAATTGAAATTTGCACATTCTTAGTCAAATTAGAGGTAGTATATGTAATATGTCTGTGAAGGTTCTCAGTCATCCAGGTCATCGTAGTCAAAGGAGCTTGCAAAGAAAAGCGTCTGGACTTCTTTAAGTTGCTTGAAGACGTTTCACCTCTCATCCGGTAATACTTCACCAAGCCACCAGAGGTCAGGAGAGGTCACCAATTGATTTTCTCCACTCTTTCTGTGGAGGTTATGACTTAAGACGTTTATTCACCTAGATATGTAGGAGTCTACTTTCTTCTTGTTGAGTCCAGTCTGAGCGTTCCTCACAGATCCATAGCCAGAACTTGCTACTCGGGATTTACTTCCCACACTGACAGAGATATCAGAGAAAAACAAAAAGAAAACCAGGACAAGGATGTTTCAAAGTTATTCATTGAAATAAAGGCTCTCTGTCGAGACACCGCGTAGACATAATGTCTTGGATACTAAGAATAAAAGTGAGAAAGCGAAATGAAACTGTTGTTTTTTGGCAGCCTTGCTCTATTCTCGGTTCTGACGTTGCATTTTGTTTTGACTCACATTGTTCGAAATGACACTTCAATCAAAATAAATCCGGGCTGTAAAAACATGTACAAAGATTGACTGTTCCAACAGATATTTGAATAGACACAGCTGAATGCACAATAAAAGGTAAAAAAAACAGTACCCACTTGACATCAGTAAATAAAAACCTGTCTGGACTCGCCCACAGTATTTAAAACACATCTGCGTATGTGTACTAACCCTGACGGTGGGCTTGTGAGCCCGGAGGGATTATTCTTCACTGAACCTGTTGAGGAGGCCTTACTAGATGGGATTCCTTAAGTGAGAGAGAGGGTGACACAAATGAGGACAATGCACATATTAGTTTTGTTTGATGCAATGAAGTCAGTCACAAATTCACAATATGGGGGGGGTGATGAGGAGTACAGCACTGTGTCTCGTACCAGTGGGCTGTCCAAGGCCTGATCTTTGGGGTAAACGAGAGGAAGCTGAAGGGATGGTTGACACAACGGGAGTGTTGGCCTTCTTTGCAGCAGCAGGAGGCTTGTACTGAAGACAGAAAGAAGGCAATAAAAATAACTATTTGGTACAAAAGATCAGCTATGGATATCATGGCTGAAAAGTCATTAACATAGTTACATTAAAGATATACAAAAACATATATCATATCATATCACTATACGACCACATAAGCAGAACGGCTTGTGGTTGTAGTGTTTGTAATATGCACATTGTGTCAATGCTTGGCTCTAAAACGGGTTTTAAAACTGCGATCTGGAAGAAAATCTCAAAGCTATAAAAAAGAACTGCAACACATAACAAATCTAAAAACACGACACAGCAGGGAGGCTCAGTGACATAACGATTAACGACTGAAGGCTTTTTATTACAATGGGGAATCAGAGCTCTTAACCAGAAGGGTTTAAGCCCTGCTGTTTTTATTGGCTACCAAATTAACTCCCTAGCTATGCACCATAGCTGTTGTTAAGTAACTTGTAATTCTACATCTGCTGCAGAGTGGGAGTCCCACCATGGTAATAAAAGACAATGATTTAAAAGGAAAACTTCTTAATTATCAGCAATTAGCCATAACACAGAAGTGCCACACATATCGATCATCAGTATAGGTTTTGTAAACCTACCTATGAGCATTTTTTAACATTTTATGTTTAAAAAACTAACAACAAACTATTTTCTGTTTAGATCCATGCTCAATCATCCAGGTAAGGAAATCCCAAAAGACTGAAGAAGTCACTTGAATGAGTGATGAAATGTTTCTCCCACTTAAAATGCTATGTCCAGATGAACAGAATCAACTTTTTGGGAACTATTGTCTGTTTAATTTCAAATGCAGTCCCCTCTCCTATCCGTGCGTGCGTGCGTGCGTGCGTGTACCTGTGTGCGACCTGGAGGCTTTTTGGCATCTCCTGACTTGCTTTTGTTGGGCATTCGGGCAGCCTGCTCCTGGCAGAATTTGATGTGTCTGTCAGCTGCACTCTCGTTGAACCTCCGCTGACAGTAAGGACACTGGATATAGTCTAAAGGGAGACAAGGTAGTGGGAAAATATACATGTAGCTTTTGTAATTGAATCCTGTATACAGAAATACTACTATCTGATGAAGTGGTGACTTGAACTTTTCATTTGCAGCTGTCACCACAATTACAGCTCGACTTGTATAGGATTTATACGAGCAGTAATCGTGCTGATATTTAGTCATTTAAAATTATTTCTTTCCTTTTAGTGACACAAAACATTCTGAATATTTCTACATTAATGTTGTTATTCATGAGTCCTTACTACAATGACAGTATACTTTAAAAAGTAATATTGTTTGATGGTTGCAACAAGTTTTAGATTACTCATTTGGACTCTGCCCATGGTAATCCAACAGTGAAGTTGCAGCGTGCCCTCTGGTGGACAAACCATACATCCTCAGCACTCATCAACGCTTCAGTCATTGAAGGGTGTTTCTGTATTGCCTTCACGTTTTAAATTTTTACTTACAACATGTCAGTCAGCCTCTACATTACATTTCAGCATTTAGTAATAACTGTCTGCAGTGTCAAGTCCATTTTGCTAAAAATTTCATTGCAGCGACTCAACATGGTACTCAGTAGTTTCTATGGTCACCATGTGCTTGCATACAATGTTGGGGAATGCTCCTAATGAGATGACAGCTGGTGTCCTGAGGGATCTCCTCCCAGATCTGGACAATGGGAGAGCCCCCGGACAGTGTTCGGTCCTCCAGCAACTGCCTCCATACTCTCGCTATGTGAGGCTGGATATTATCATGCACCAGGAGGAACCCAGGGCCCACAGCACCAGTGTAGGATCTGACATTAGGCCCAAAGATTTCATCCTGATACCTAACTGCCAGTTGAGCGCCACAGTGCCTTGCAGTGAGCACAGGGCCTACTAAAGGGGCCACAGGCCACCCTCATAGAATAACCGCCTGTCTCCTGGAATCTCCACTCTTCAGGCTGTGCTGGGAGCCACAGCCAACTTTCAAGGAATGACGTGTGGACGACCTGTGCAGGGTCCAGGTAATCACCTCATGAAATTGATTAAAAAGTGCTAATTTTTTCGAGCAGTGTATGAGACTTTTTCACAATTCTTTTATTAAGATACAAAATCTTTTTTTTTATAGTTTTTCCATTTGCTTCTAGATAACTAGATGTTACCTGGGTCATAAGTAGGAGGAGGAGGCGGGGGTAATGGTCCTCCATCTTTTATGACCTGACCGATGGTCTTTGCAGCCCGGATGGTGGCGATGAAGTCCTCGTGTTTCTTGCGCCAATTTGACGGCTTCTTCGGGGGTTCTGCCTGACACGACAACAACATGAGAAAAGAGATTCTCTGTTACAGCTGTTTGCTGCTATAGTTTGACAATCTAATATTAAGAAAATACGATTAAGCTACTCTCTTACCGAATGTTTTAACTCGACAGGTTTCACAGCGAATATGTAAAGATTGCATACGCTTATCTAAGCCTGCACTTCCCACTCTTACCCTAAAAAACCCCCAACAACTATGTTTCCATAACAAAAGTACAAGTCTTATCTAAAGTTGATGATTAGCGACAGAAATAGTTCAGTGAGTTCAGTTGTCTAAAGTGGATCTGAGGCAACACGACAGCCTCTGTGACTTTCTATTTCTCCTGTGTAGTTAAAGCATTCAGACACGTTTGTCTGACAAACACAGGTGACTTGGAGAGAGCTAAAACTACATTTTATTATATTTTCCTCTTTCCTAAACTGCTGCCAAAGAAAAACTAAACAAAACAGAATTTGTCGCATAACTAGACGTTTGTCCTGTTCATATCACAAAGCTGAAAATTCCAGTGGGAGCACAGAGTGAGTACGCAGGAGTTAGTTGAAGCCAAGACCATCTGAACAACAGCCAGGCAACAGACTGGGCAAGATTACTTCACTGACTGATACTCATGAGACAGTTTCTCACAGAGAAGAAATAAACGAAACAAATACAGTTTTTAGTTGTTAAAGAGTAATCTGAAGGTTCAAAGCAACCGCAGCAGCTGAACTAGAAAATATAGCATTAAGGCTGTCACGTTAAATGAAAGAGAAAAGAACACTGGATACAGAAGGATGCCAGTTAAAGACAAGAGGTATGAAAGGATTTTTAAAATTAATATCACCAACATGACTTGGCACACCCACAGACTATTCAAGCCAATACTTCAAGGCAAACAAAGTTTTTGTGTAGCCAGAAAAACAGTGAGGGAAAGCCTCGCGGGCTTCAACAGATTATCTGTGCTGCTAAAAATTATATCTATGGAAAGGAGGGACAATTGAAAAAAAAAAAAAAAAAAAAGATAAAAGCAACTTACTCTTTCAGTAGCAGATGAACTTTGTGACTGAAATACAATTGAAAGTTGTTTACATTGTAAAAATAAACTGTCGACATAATACACTGAATGTGCTGCATGGAAATGAAAATTCATAGGCGCCACTCAACACCATAAGCGCCAAAATGCTGTGTACATTTCAAAGGCTGATTCTTTTCTGGGTCCTCCCTGGAAAGCCTTCATGTGACCTGGATTATAAAAGGTTTATCTGGATAACTTGTTTGCAGAGTAATATAGAGTTTTCGGATAATTAAGGAATATGAACAGCATTGTTTCCTTTAGGTGTTGTATTATTGGATACAACGCTGAATAAATAACCTCAGATTAAAAACAGGTCATTTTTTAATAATAAAAGCTGGACGTATTTATGAATGAATAGATTACCTAAAAAAATGAACAACAGCGTTTTAAGCAGCATGTGAGATCCAGCTAGTTTTCTGACTTTAGGCAATTTTTTTTCAATCCTGTCAACAGTCAAAATGAACCACTGCTGACAATTTATGTGGATTTCCATCGCTCTGCTTAGGTGAAGGCTTACCTTTGGTTTGATGGGTTTCAGTACGGGGATGTCTGTTCCCTCAGCTCTTTGTCTGCTGGAGTCAAAAACCTTCCTCTTTTTAGTTGCTGATTTTTGGCAGATTTTTGAGTGCTTCTCCTGTTGAAGGAGGACAATGTGCACAAAACATGACAAAACATTTTTATTTGTTTTTAACACCACTGGCATCATGCCAGTGGCATCACTTAAGATTTGTATCTGTCTTTTACTATAATTTAAGTTTTCAACTATGTTTTCCTAAATGAATTTCTTGAAAGAGGAGGAAACTTTCTTTCAAACATTTCAAGCTCAAATTTAAATGAGTAACATTAACAACACCAGTAACCTCCTCAAAGCTGCAGCCAACTCTCTGAAGCACACTAATGTCTTCCTGATGGAGACCCAAACCTATATTGCTATACATATCTAGAATAATACACCATGCTTTAATGCAGCCATTATCTACTAATGAGGCAAAGTGCTTGCATAAGAGCACATATTTGGTTGTTTACCAGAAGATTCTCTTCAAATTAAACACCAAAAACCTTTATAGCTTTGATGTATTAACTCTGTAGTATGTTTTAGTCATTTCAACACAATAAGCAAAGGAACAGAGGATTTTGGGGGAGTAAAAATCAACTCATATACACTCATTAGCGACTCTGTTAGGTACACATTAGTACCAGGTTGAACCCACTCTGCTGGAAGCATAATAACATGCCATGTTATAATCAGAATATCAGAACATGTCATGTTATCAGTAGATGGGTACACTGTGGTAATAAAGATCAGGAACAACACTCAGGTAGACGGCTGTATCAAAACTATGATATCCTCCACACCATTACCAGCAACCTGAACTGCTGACACAAGGCAGGATTGATCCATGCTTTCATGCTGTTTTAGTTACTGATGCCTTCCTATCCGGTTGAAGCAGCTGGGCCTTTCCCCTTTGATATCTGACATCAACGAGGCATTTTGACCCAGATAACTGCCACTCTGTGAATATTTTCTTTTTTTCTGTCAATTCTCTGTAAGCCCAAGAGATGGTTATATGAGAAAATCCCAGTAGATCAGCAGTTTCCGAAATACACAGATGTGTCTATCTGTCACCCATAACCATGACTCAAAACCAGTCTTTTCGCCTATGATGATAATAATAATAATAATAATAATAATAATAATAGATTGCATTTATATAGCGCTATGACACCACCCTTACCTGCATGTGCTGCAGACAGTGCTGAGAGTACTGTATTGCTGAACATGTGTGAAGCCATCCTTTCTAAACAATCTCCATTCACTGATTTAGACAATCAAGTGAAAGAAAATGCTTCACATGATACAGTCCAGTTGATACTTGTGCTGCAATTCATCTATATATAAAAAATGGCCCACTATGAAATTAATTTAATAATTAATTAATGACCAATATTTCCAACTCTGCTTTATGGGAGAGCAGTACTACTAGAGACGTTTCTTAGTGAAATTTTTAAATCAGAGTCTTGAATATCACAAATTTGTTCAAACAAAAAGCATTTCTGCTTTGATAAAACTTTCAACTCCCCTACAGAGCTCTTCACAGGACCCTGCTAGCTATCTGGATCATAGACACATTATTATTGAACAAACAGCTGATACCCTGTCAGCTGAGAATTAATGTGGTAAATACTGTCAGCCAGGCGGGTTAATCATAGTGCGTGATCAACACACCCCCAAACAAACACTTAAAGTGTCTGCGATTAAAATATTGTCCTCTTAAAACAGTGTTACACATTGTTTTGTTTTGTTTGTTTTTTGTATTAAGAAATGTCAGAAATGAGCAAGAGGTGGTTTGTTTTTTTTACCAGGACTTTGGGGAAGAAAGATCTTTTACAGATATTACACTGAATCCGATCGTCAACCAGAGAAGCTTCGCCATCTGCAAGAATAACAGAACAAATTCGGTGAAGGTTTAAAGGTCAAAAATGGGCCACAACGGGACTAAACAAACATGGGAAGAAAAATAATGACCCAGTTAACATTTGATACAAGGTAAATACTTTCGCGGTCATAAATTGTGTTCTTCTGCCACAGTAAAGGCAACAATGTTTTATTGTTGCCTTTACTGCTCATTCTACACGGATACTTCAAATTTCCTGAAAATGGCTGGAGGAAAATAGTCAGATTTAGCTAAGTTTAACGTACAGAGTCAAACACTTCGAAGTATTACTGTACACATAGAAACGTATTTAATATTAAAGGTAAGCAGTCTCCGAAGATTCATTGATATACACGCTTTAAACCATTCATTTAAAAGTGTTATTTGTTAGGAGTTTGCTGGTTAGCCGGATAGCTCCTCTAGCTAGGAATCGCACCCATTCAGATAGGAGGAGCAGCTAGCTTCATCTTTGGCCCTGACGTTACCTAGCATTACTTGGGCTAAAACCCAAACAAAAAGGAGGTCGCTATACAAAACTGTTCATCTAAAGGAGCCGCGAACCCCAAAGCGTCCCCTTGGCAGATAAAAACGAAATGCTGAAATCCCAAATTTGCCATAAAAGGCTGAAGTAAACACACAAACAGCAATATCGCATACCTTCAAATTCTTCCATCCTTAGGTTATTCCTTATCTGGTCCTGTTGCCGTTGTTCGAAAACGGCCAGACGTAGACGGAAAATACAAGATGAAACCCCCTCTTCATTTCCGGCTTTGCTAAAACGGGAAAAATGTTTTGTTTTTACCCATTTATCCTGTAAGGAAAATTACTTTAATTTACATATAAATTTATTCTGCAGTGTATTGTGAATTACTGATGTCCTGTGTAGATCTACATTTTTGGTTTGTCATTTTTTTGTGTTTTGTTTGTTTCTCTGTGACTTATGTCGACACTACTGGGACGTCCTGTTCCAATTCCCAATGGCAGGTAAATATCTTGACACTACTGATCTTTGGCTACCGATAGCAACTGGGTTGTCCGATGCCGCTCGGTGAGCTAACATGCGAGTATTTCATTGGTTATTACTGCACTGTTTCTGATGGAGTGTTCAAGTATGCACTGTTTATTTTGGACAGCAGGTGGAGCGTGGGAGGGAACCTCTGTCATGTTTCCCAGTATTACTCCTAACCATCAATTTTTGGGGGAGTTTGCGTAGCTCAGTTTTCGCTGGAAACTAGCAAATGTTGCTGTTACTGGGACGAAATCTTTTTTTTTAATTTTAGCTATAGAAATAAATAAAAAATGAAATGCTATTAGTTATTAGTGCTGTTATTGATACAAAGTTATGTTAATGAATAAACGGGCTGGTAGCTTTACCTTGCATCTCAGCTTTGTTTGGGGATGGTCATTTACAGAAACTCATTATATCAACCAAACAACAAAACTAGTGTGCTCCTTTGCTGCTTTTGTTAGCTCAAACACTTGCGCAGAACAAACACTCGGAAGTTCCTCATTTGCCATACTGACAACATGTGTCATCTGAATGGAGGGATTCATGGACAGATGCTAAGAGGGCACAGCAAACATGTGCCTTTATCACAAGAGGGACGTTGTTTCAACACTGACTCCCTTTTGTGTGATCTCTCGCACCACACACACGCCCAAGCGCGATGCCTTTTCACCATTTCAAATTATAGCAATGGGATGATAACCATTCGCTAAGTCCTAATGTATCCTAACCTTTAAATAAGGTAATGATTTTACACACACATTCACGGTTAAACAATGCACTTGGCATTAAAGTTTATGGCTCTCACTTTGTCAGATATTAATTAATGAATGTGGTGCAAGTATTCCTATTAGTAATCCTATATGTGTATTTATTTATTTATATGTATATTTATCTATCTAATAAAATAAAGGAGTATAGGTAAAGTAGCTGGTAATGAAAAACTTTTCTGTTAAGCGTCCCTTCAAAGTAATGCGGTTTTATTCTGAAAGTAATACTCGGAAGTAGCTTTGGTGTGCTTGATTTGCTTGACGTTGGTAAATTCTCTTTCATGAGCGCATTGGGGAATACCGAAATGGCAAGATCCGAGCCGATGTGATTGACCCCTGCGAATATTCGGAAGCCATTTATTCCAAACAGGTAGCATACCTTGTTGATCATATTAAGAATAATAACTGCAGGTGCAAAGTGCGCAAAGCTCGTAAATGCATGTGTAATGTTAATATCATGCAGGCTACGTTTACTGACACTGACCTGGCTCTGTGGGGGTCTTTGTCATCAAAGACAGACGTATGGATCTTGGTTTTAATAATGAATTTAAACATTCAGATTCTCCTGCAACCTTAAGCTCGTCTGTATTTAAAGGTTATATGTCTTCAACAAAAAAGAAAAGAAAAAAACTAGCGCTTTATTATTTAGGACGCCAATGCGCGTGACTGCATCGCTTTAGTAGGTGATAAATTGTCATTTTGGACAAATAGTCTTTGTGGAGTGACGTCACACTCGTGCAGACTCGCGATGAACTTTTAAATAAATCACTTAGCTAAGATTGCCTTAAATGTGTACGAGCTGTAGAAATAACAGTAAAACATTTGCACGCTCTTACAGGGAGGGTGTTGACAGCTGCGCGTGAATCAGTGGTTAAGGAGAAATTGTTTACTTTTGCGCTTGGCACGGTGATGTTGGAGTATAGCATGTCTGTTTGTGTGAGACCTGGCATCAGTCCCAGGTATGCCCAGGCCACCTAGAATAACTCTGGCATAAGTTTCTGGGACTCGTTTATGTACTGCCTTTATCACTGCTAATATTCTGTTTGGCAGCATAACAAATCAAACAGCTGCAAAGCAGGAGTAGACTTCCCCCCCCAAAAAAAAAAAAACTTCATAGTGAAAGACAGAGACGGTTGGCCTGTTGTATTATTCAGCGATTTGATCATTTGTTTGGAGTCTGTGCTATGTATATTGTTGTCCAGGCCAGCTGAGCTCTGCTTCCCACATGGGAGTACACACACTGTACACACACATATACACACAAACACACAGCTGAGTTGCCAATGTTCTAATTCATGGGTACAACAGTCTGACTAAATTATGTAAACTGGCAATTAATATTTCATAGAATATGAGCATAGGAAAACACATCGCAAAATGTCCTGTCACTTCTAACTTCAACTTCTAACTTCAAATAAAAACACAGCTTCAGTGGAAAAATGTCTGCACGTACAGATCTGTAATCCAATTAGATTCACTTATGTTCTATCATAAGACAGGTTCTTTATTGAAAGGTGTGGGGAGGAATTTTATATCTCATTTGGCTCTACCAGGACATTTACTCATGCAAGCTACATTAACCTAGCTGTTTACATGATTTAACGTTTCAAATGATATTTCTTCTTTATTGCTAATAAACCTGGAGAGTTATACCTATGACCACAATCCAGTGCCCCGATTCTCATATTAAGTTAGAGAACAGCCGTCTTATCTCTCTTGCTTCCCCACACGTTTGGTCTGTCAGTCGTACACGGACAGCATCTGCCGGGTCTTGCCCATCTTGACACCATTTTGAGAATGACAGCTGAGTGGGAGGGTGCTCAGATGATGACAGAAGAGGTTTCCAAAAATAGCCACAGTCCACCGCAACTTTCTCTAGAAATAGCCACAAATGGATGTGAAAGTGAGGCATTTTTAATATATACTTATATATAATTTAAAAATCCTGCATTTGACTTGGGGAAAATCAAACCAACCTTTTTTTGTGACTGAGTGTTGTGATGTCTTCTGAGGGTTTTTTATTTTCCTTGAAAATTTTAAAGTAGTGGCAGCAAATAAATGCAGATATCCAGACTGATACAGCCAAAGAAATCTCATCATAGCAGATTTTAATTGAAAGAAATGTGACAACAAAGCCTGAATCTGCTCAGTGCTGAAGGACAGCCTCAGCCAGACAGATTGCTACAAAGGGCTTGAATATAAGCAGAAGGATTTAACCTAAATCTCCGGGGCAGCACAGCTCCCATCATGCTCCATGTGATATGGCAGAACTTTCCTCATTCTGCTTTAATGACCTCTTAGCGTGCTCTTTGGTTGAAGTAATGCATCAGATTGTCTGTTTATATTTCCCATCGCTCTCCTCGGCATTTCTTCTACTGAATTTGCCTCCTCTGTATCCATGGTGTCGCCTGTACCCTAGACTGAGATTAAAATAGATTAAGCAGGGATTAGGTCATAAGATAAGCGGAGGGAGGGATGTATTCAATGAGTGTCTGCATAGCCTGCTGCGTTACATTCTTCTTGTCAACAAAAACTGGTGTTGCCATTGTGTAAAGTTATTTAGGAGAAGCTGCACAAACTCTGTCCATTTCAGCGATCTTTCCATAAAAGCGGTGCAGATTCCATTGTCTGTGGGTCACTGTGCACCTGTGCAACTTGAAAAGGTGTGTCAGTGTGTGCTGCTGTGTGCGGCAGGCTCTGCTATGGTGAGGTGTGTCAGCGATGACGGATGTGGAGGCGACCTATGAGGACTTCATCACCTCTCGACGATCCGGCCGCAGGAATGCCATACATGATATTCCAGACGCTCCTGGAGAACCGGGCACCACTGATCTGTCGGAGAGTCTGGCACAGCTCAACATCAACAAGTCAGGTGAGCAACATGATGAAGAACGAGAACATATTTTGATGGCGACATTAATAATTCATCAGGGTAGCAACACATAGCCTCCACTCTACTTGTGTTGAGTTGAATTCTCTGGATTTTCCAACAGTGGAGAGGAAAATCAAGACTTCATAGCTTAGTTCTGCAGCATGTTTGGAAATTGTAAATAGAGCTCAAAATCACAGAGCCACTAATCTTTGGCTCTCTTCCAAAGTGTGTCTTTTGTCCTGTCTCTCTCCCAGATGGCTGCCCCTCCCTTGGTCTAGTTCTACCGGAGGCTTCTTCCTGTTAAAGGGAAGTTTTTCCTTCCCACTGTCACCAAGTGTTTCCTCATAGGGAGGGGGGGGGACGACGACATTTGATTGTTGGTGTTTTGTCTCCATTATTGTGGGGTCTTTACTGTACAAAATAAAATGTCTTAGGATGATTGTTGTTCTGATTTCACACTATATAAATAAAATTTAATTGAAGTTCTTCAGTTACATTTTACATATATGTCTTCTTTGGTGACTTAGTAGCTGCATCACTGACTTCCCCCGTAGTTAAATGTCCATGAAATCGACTGTCCCACTGTCCTCTTTCTTCACTGTTTTCCAGGTGATGAGGGAGAAGATGCTGAGAAAAGCCAGAACTCTCCATCTAAAGAAGAGCAGACTCAAGCTGAGGGAAGCTAAGTGCCACCGGACATTTATGGACTCGAGCAGCCACTTCTTTTAGTCTATCTGCTCCCTGTATGCTAAGCCTCTGACTGGCCAGTTGCATCTAATGACTGTGAACAGCAAAATCCTCTATTGCCACTATCCTGCCATCAGGAAGTCATCACTATGGCAACCACAGCACAGTCTCTCTCTCGCTTGTAATTGGGTGTGTTCCATTTTCCTTAAAAACTTTCCTTCTTTTTCTGCCTTTTGTCCAAGGCTGCTGATATCAGATTGGATGTAATTTAAGGTGAACTAAACATGATGTCAACAACCAAAACCAGCCCACTTTTGACTGTGAGTGGTTTTGAGTGGAAAGTGGAGGGAGGAACGGAGGCTAGTAAAAGGTTTTTAGAGCAGCCACAGAATTAAAATTTGTCTTCCCCTCTCCTCGTCTCCTTCAATTAATCACCACTGATGCGACTGAAACACAGACGGCAACTGGACATCCACTCATCTTGCCTCGACGCCTGAACACGTGCTCCCTTCATAAGTACTCGCTATTGACCGTTTCCTATTTCCATGGATTCGGATCCATCTGTGTATTGGATTGATGGACGTTATCCAGCAACTGCACTCAGCAGCTCAAAGGCCCTGTTGTACTTTGTTGCATGTATCCATGTTAGGTGTAAAATCTAAATGGGTTTTTTTTTTTTATCATTTCAGACATCCCATTTTAAGTATTACATTGATGGTCAAACACGGTCCAGTTCTTTAAAAAAAGTAAGAGTCAGATCACAAGATATAAAGCTTTTTTTTTCCCAAGTTAGGAACAGCAACATGTGCTGCTCGATCTGTCACAGGCAAAATGAGCGTCTGTTTAGTTTTGGTGGCTGGCTTCACTGCACCTTGCTTTACTCTTGCACACTGACCCATAACTTTGAGTTCACTATAACTATTCACTAGAATTTTGTTGTTTGCACTGCCAGGCCTCACAAATGAAGCCAGGGAGTACAAATGTGTCCCCCCTCCCCCCCAAAATTGTGGGTTTTTTAAACCATTTTTCTGCCAAGGCAATATTGTCTTTTGCTTTGCTAATTCAGGACCTGGACTACTTGCCATAATTGATGGAACCACAAATTCAACTCTTTACAAGAAAATACAGAAAGAGAACCTCTGCCCATCGATTTGTGGTCCAAACTTCAAGCACACTTGGGTTATTGAGTTGGACAGTGTTTCAAAACACACCAGCAAGTCCACCTCTGAATAGCTTGAAGTAACAAAATGAAGGTTTTGGACTACTATTGAGATGTTTTTCATTAAAAGCACTGTTCATGCTCATAAAACCCTCCAATGTGGCTGAATCAAAACAATTCTGCAGAAAAGAGTCACTCAATGTGAATAACTCTTTGCCAATACTTGCAAAACCTCTTGCCTGCAGTTCTTATTACCAAGGCTAGCACAACCATTTATTAGGCTTAGGGGTCATGTACTGTTTCACACAGGGCCAGGTGGGTTTGGATAGCTTTTTTTCAATTAATAAAAGAAATCATCATTAAAAAAAAAAAGGAATTTTGTTTGCACTCAGGTTATCTTTAGGAAAATACTTTTTAATGACGCTGTAAACAATGAAATTGATTGGTTGGAAAGTAGGATTTCACCCTTACTGTACATCTTATACTTTAATAACTGGCCTCTCACTGTCTGCAAATGTGTCCAGTCTAACTTGTGATGGCCTTGAATGCAGGAGTTCTCTCCTTACATGCAGGGTATCTACACACATTAAGTGGTTATCCCACAGTTTAACATTTGCACTGCCATGTATTATACCCAAGTTTGTAATTTGGTTGTGGTGGACATCAAGGAAAAACATTTATTTGCTACTTAAGATTTGGAAATTGCACTACTGAGTGTGGTTTATTAGCGTGTGCTGTATGTGTAAATTTTCGTAGATGAGACGACTGTTAGAATAAATATTATGTACTGGCACACTGCCTGTCAGTTTTGCAATTCCCTTTTGTAATCTGTTTTCACAGTTTCCTTTTAACACCATTACTGTACTCTGTCCAATTTAGATCTACTAATGAAATATGTGGGTATGCATTCTAAAAATGCTTTATTACTTTGTTATATCTGACCAGCTGATCATTTTGTTTCTTTGTTTAGTTACCTTCACAAAGGAGGTTATCTTTTTGCTACTGTTTCTAGTTATTTGTCAACAGGATTATGTATCTGCAGCTACCTGGATGATTTTCAGGAAACTTGGAGATAACGTGGAGTATGGGCATATAGGAAGAAGCTGTAAAAATTGGGCGGGTGGACGGTGGTTGTAGTAAATCTTTAGTTTTAACCTGTTAAAGGGGATTAGTGCCATTTTATAGTGCATCATAGGACTAAGATAACTTGTACTCTGAGTCCAGTGTAATGTGATTTAATGACCGGTACTGTTGCAGTTTCGGTGAGCTATAGAACTCAAGCTGTTGTTCCATTCTCACTGTTATTTTCAGTATTTTATAAAAATTCTCGATTTAGTCACGTTATTGTGTTATCAGAGGCATTACTATGTAACATACTCATTTTTGACTTTGTCTATTTGGTTAGTTTTGATGTGCAATTAAATTTTACTAGTGAATTAATCGAAAGTGTCAAGACAAATTAATGCATCCTCAACAGAGAAGGCTCAATAAGCAAAGTCTTTGTCTCCCCCTGGTGGTCAATCTAAGCTATTCCATTCAACAACGGAAAGGCCCAATCACTGAGCGCTTCTGTTTTGTAATCGATATCAGACGATGTAGAACGATGCAATAGATAATGCAAGCATTCACAAGTCAGTGAGGTCATGTGCCGTTAGTTAAGGTCAGCTTGATAGAAAGATACTATGATGGCTAGCTCACGTGAAGGAATTGGTACTCTCCTATAATAGACCCACGCACTGTAAAAAGAAAAAGGAAAAAATGATGACTATGTTTCTCTTCCTGATTAGATTCTGATTAGTCAAGTGCTAGGCAGTAAACACGGTGGTTATTGACACGCATTGATGGTGGTAAATACATTGCATTGACTTGACTCAAACCGACATGACCTTCTGAACACAGTGTAACAAAATTGAGCTGTATCATATGGTAATCAGAACAGTGAGGACTCATTTCACTGATACCAGAGTTGTTAATGTTGAAGATAAATGGTACATGCTGTAATAATGCAACAGAGCTGTATCTGTAATGACAGAGCAGCTGAGTGATTATTGTTGTTATAGGCCTTTGAAATGCTACAAGGCAACTTATGGGTGGAGCATTTTCTTCAGTTTTTCTCGATTACTTTCATTCAGTCTTTCTTCCTTGTTCTGATGCTCGGTTTGAACTTCAGCGTGCTGTCTTGACCATCTCTACATATCTAAATGTTTTGAGTTGCCGCTGATGTGAAAGGTTGATTAGATATTTGCATTACTGTGATTATTAGGTACGCCTGCTCCACTGCTAAAGTAGTTGCTAAATGTATTTAGAATGACTTATGTATACATTTCCTTATTTTTTTTCTGATACATTTAGTTTAATGAGTATTATGTTTGCTTTTCTGCATTTCATCACTTTTGTAAAGTTAAAAAAAAACCCTTCACAATTCATTTGTTTCAGAAAATATTTTTCTTCTATATT